GTCAACCGGTGAAGTTGACTTTGCTTGAATCGTTTCAACAGGAACACCAAGCTCAACAAGTGACTTCTCCAACACTGGTCGTGTCTCAAGTTTTGTAATCTGTTGGCTATCGAGTTGATAACCTTTGGCCCTTTTTTCCTCCAATATCTCAATTTGTTGCAGTTTTTTTCTTAAAGCCCGAACATGCTTGCCAACTTCTTGATTTGCATCATCATATGGATGTAAAAAGCTATCAAATCTTTGGCTTCTTTCCTTGTGTGAACCCATGTTTCCACCATTGTTGTTATCACGAGTCCTGAGAAACTCGTTGTCACTATCATCCTCTTCACTGTTAACAACAGCAGGAAAAGTGGCTGTTGGGGTTGGAAGCCTACGATAACTCCATGCTTCAAATGACTTTGAATCCAAAGCTTTTTCAAGATTCACAAGAACATCCAGTGAAGCACTAGCAACTGCGTGTGTGGAGACTGTAAGCACGTAGTCAAGATTACGTATCACAATTTCCTGCAAAAGTTATCAAGAGGGAGGGGTTCAATTGTCTAAAATACCCTTGAAAGTGACAAAAACTCAAAATGGGTACTACCTCGCAATGCTTCCTTAAATCATGTGCCTCTAGTGAATCGGCGATTTCAACAAGTTGTAAAGCACTTCTTGGCTCCACCAAATGCTCGGCTGCCACTTTCTCACAAAGACTTTTCAGACTTGGTATTTGCTTACTGCCATTTTCACTGTTACCCTTTTCTAGACTTGATGTCTTTTCATCACTTTCAATATCATTATAAGCAAAGTCTTCATCCAACTCGCTAAAATCATCACTTAGTTTTTTCTTTAAACACTGAGGGGTATCTGGAGCCTTGAGAGAATATGGAGGATGATAGAGAGAACTAATCACCAACAGATGTGTTTCTCCAACTGAAACTGAAGTAGCCCTTTTGATGCCATGTAATCGAGTTATGACCGGAGCTTCATCTTTTCTTTTCTTTGCATCCCACATGTAAACATCACCGGATGCTGTAACTCCAGCTGTCCAGTACTTTCCAGCAGACACACTGACCATACTTTTCCCACAAAGCCCGTATAACTACATCAAAGAAACAATGAATAAGAGAGGCATGATGGATGATGATGATGATGATTGATGATTGATGATGATGATGGACCTGTTGACATCTAAGATCGGGATCAGAAGACACCCAATAGAACAACGCACCATCATGGGTAAGAGCCATGCTATGCATCATCCCTGCAGCAATTGAAACCACATGAAGCCGTTCTGACCGGTGAAACTTTAAAGGAGTGCTTCCAACTTTTTTCAAAATCCTTGCAACAACCACACGTCTTGGAGTTACAAGCCGATGACCCCAAGTAAATACCTGGAAGAAAAAAAAAAACCTAGAAAATTAGAATCACTGGAACAATTTTCATTCTTGCTTTTATCATCTAAAAAGGTACCTCTCCATCGGCTCCTAAAACCACAGTGTGATACTTGGCTGCTGACACGCGAATGAAAACTTTTCCTTTCAAATACTCAACGAGCCTTGGGGTGTAATTTGAGCCCGAGTTTGAAGTTCCATAACCAAGTTGACCTTCTTTATTGCAACCCCAAGTGAAAACCTCACCCGAATCAGAAACAACAGCAGTGTGCTTGTTTGCTGCAGCAATAGCAACTATCTTTGACTTTAATGAGCTAACTCTTCTTGGGGTTGCTTGAGTATCAACAGAAGTATAACCAAGTTGACCCTCTGCAAAAATCACCATGAAACATTATCAATATAATTAATCAGTCTGTCTGTATTCTTTTAGTAGGGTAAATAAGTAATTACCTCTGTTAGAACCCCAGGTGAAGACCTCGCCACCCTCTGTGACAGCAACTGTATGATGTTTAGCAGCTGCGATTGCCTTGACCCTGCGGGCCCCTAATCCAGATGTTACCTGTCTAGGAGTTATGACTGCCGCCTGACCACTATGGATGTCAAAATCAGGGTGGCCAAGGCGACCACCGCGACCAAATCCCCAAGTGAAAACTTCACCATGAGCACTCACAGCAACACTATGAAACTTGGCTGAAGAAATGGACTTGATGAAGGATCCATGAAGTGAGTCAACCTTGCATGGGAGCTTCTGTATGTGAGCATTTCCAGTCCCAAGTTGATAATTAACACCGCTTCCCCAACTGTACAGCTCTGTCACTACTGAAAATGCACAACAAATATGCATTCAGGAAATTGTATCAATGGAGTAATATTATAAGGATGTGTTTGTTGGAGTACCTGAACCATCTCCATTGCCATTAGCATTGCCATTAGCCTGTAGAACAGGCCCAGAGAGGAGGTCAACAGGTGTTCTTGACTTGGAATCTTCAATTGCAACAGAAGCTTCTGATTTAAGAAGAATACTAGCAACAGCCAAATGACCAAAATGTAAAGCCCGATGAAGGCTACTCCATCCAGATTCTCCATCCTGAAGATTGAAAAAGTTGTTAAACTTTTCATCTGATATCTAAAAGATGAGAAGATAGATGTACCCTGGCATTAGGGTCTGCACCAGCAGCTAGTAGTCTTCGGATAATTGGAATGTGATTTCTCCATGTTGCAATATGAAGAGGGGTAAGGCCAAAAGTGTTTCTTGAATTGATGTTTCCACCATTTTTCTTCAGTGAGACCAAGGCTGAATCTACATCTACCACAGACCCTCCATGCACTGCTAGCCATAGATCTTTGGAGGACCCACTTGTTGAGGACTTGCCACCTGGACCTTGGAGGTTTTTTCTTTGACTGTGAAGTAAATTTATCTGATCCATCACTAGCTACAGACACTTTTTACAGCACTACTACAATACTTGTTAACTATAATGATTAAGACAATCTTAAAGATAAGGGTTCATCAAACAACTGCCATCATCGCAATGTTTACTGTAAACAAACTGGATAAAGATCACATTCACAAACGCGCCATCACATATTTGGAAGAACACAGCAACAATGAAACTAGTAGACTGAGTCACCTGCAAGTAAGAAAATCTTTAAGCATGTAATTAAGATCATGGATTATTTTCCAAGTAGAAAAGTAACAAAATTTTCAGCTAGCAATACAAACCAAGATATCACGAAGTCATGAAATTTATCAAATTTTACATGGCAACACTGGATTTATTAAAAATGAAGTGCACTTACCAACTCTTGGAAAGATGAAACATAATGGAAATGTTTTAAACAAAACTTTCACCAAAGAGACTTTAATTTTTGAGAAACTATAAAAAAAGAAGATGAAACAGAAAAAATGATGCATCATCAAGTTTGTACTTTGTACTTTACATTGTTTTCCTCATGCTGCTGACACGATCCTCTTTATGAATCAAAAGATTAGTTTGGGCCCACAAATATTTCCACAGTTTAAAAACATGCTATCAAACTCCTCGTTAAAATCTGATCTTATTCAGTCAATAAGAAGGCAAAATCGGAAAGTAAAAGTGTCAAAAATACCAGGATCTTTGAGCCATGTAACATAACAGAGTACAAAGTCCAAGCAGAGACAAAAATCATATTATTGACTGATTTTCAAAGACAAAATCTATCAAAGCCATATTGTAGATGTAAATAGTTATGAAACTGCAACCTATTGAAATATCAACAGTTAATTCTCAAATTTTGGGTTTCTTATCATCAAAGAGCATAGTTTCGATCTCAAATTAGACTTATTCAAAAATACACCTTAGCAGAGGGCTCAGAAAACTCTTATCGTCTCGTGAATTTATACCCAAACAGCAATTACAATTACCCCGTAAACAACAAAGTAAAAGGCCAAAGATTCGGATCAAATGCAGGTTTGCAGATCATAATATATCATAAAAAGATCGACAGAACAACAAATTGATTCATTATGATCTCTAAATTACAATGTACGTACGTCCATTTTTTGAGTATAGATGTACACCTTTAAACAAAATGGACCCAGAATCAATCATAATAAAAGTCAAAACTAATCACATCAACATGAAAAGATCGCATCTTTTTTCAAAAGATCAGATAACCCCACATACGTCTACATGAAAAAATTAGAAACAAGAGATACGAAGTAAAAAAAAATACCGATAGATCGAAATCTGAAACAGACGGAACAAAATGGTCCAAAATGGCAAATACTGGCGGTTACCCTATCGAAGATCGAAACAAATCAAGAAAAGATATCGAAACGCACCAGAGATATGGAGCGAAGATGTGATAATTACCTTAAATATCAAGTCAGTTTTGATCTCAAAAACCAAACCAACTCCCAAAGACACACACACACTCCCTCTATCTCCCAAACTTCTGGCCTTTTGAATGCGTTCCGTTTTGGGGGAATTTTTCCTAGGGCAGGTGGGAGATAAGGGATCGGTTTGAAGAATATGCCCAAATGCGCAGAGAGAAGTGTGGGGGAGAAGGAGAAAGGGTGATTTGGGTATTTCACCTGTCCTAAAGGAAATCGTAGAATTGACGGAAAAACCATGAGATTATCTAGGAAAGGACGCTGGTACATGCGACGAGCGGTGGGTCTGAAGAGATGTGCATCCACGTAAACGCCATCGACATATTTGACACGTGACTCGGGTTGCCGTTAAACACGTAGATTTCCTTCCATAACGCCGTTAAACTCACATTTTGATACAGACGTTCCTTTGACCCTTTCTTCACAAGAATAAACTCGCTTCAGCCAATTTTATTGACTTAATAGATAAGTCTTGAATCCACATGGAATCCTGTAAACCATCCTTATTTTTCTGGATTTGTCGTGTGAATAAAGTTGATTTTAATTTATGGTAAATGGGTTTTATACCAATCTTTTACGTAGTAAAGAGGTTATTTTAGTCGCAATATGGAGTATTAAATAAACAATTTATCCGTTTGTTAGTTAGTTTTTAAGGAACAATCATGTACTCAATTTGCAAAATACTCGAAACTTAGTTCTGAAAGAAAAGAAAAAATAGTGTTAATGAAACCTTGTACAAATAAAGTAGGCTTGGATCAATAGAAGTTTTAAATGAAGCATCATTAATGACTTATGTCCTAGAAGTACACACTTGAAAATCACAGGACCTTAATGCACAATACCCTCGAGTTGACATAAGAATACACCAACAATTAACAAATATAATTGAATTGACAAAACTGCCCATAAACACACTACAAAGTAGAAGAAGAAACGTGTACTACTAAACTATCCAATCCCCACACACAAAGCTTGCAAATCTCAAACATCTAATTATACACCTCAATGATCATTTGATGATTGAGAAAGAAATAAGAACCCCATATGATCAACAAGAATATGAATATGCATGCATGCAGCTGTCTATAAAGTATAAACTCCCATCATGCAGCAATTGGTGAATCCTGCAAATCATAAATAAACACACTACAAAGTAAGATACTATTACTGTAGTCTTTATGATAGAAGCAATTAACACACATTGATACATACATACCTTTGCAGTTAAATTTGAGACTGCTATGTTCCATTTTTGTCTTGTTTTCGTTCCTGCAACTTGCCCAGCCTTTGCCACTTTACCAAAAGCACCATTCAGCCAAGCTGTTCCAGCAGTCACATACCTAAACAGTAAACACAATCAAGAGGGTAAATTTGGAAACAAAATGAAGACAGATAGCATTTGAAGTTTTATTACAGACCTGCTTGATTTGACAGCTGATCCAGTGTTGTTTAGTTTCCTTTCAGCTGCCATTATTGCAGCCATTGTTTTGTCTGATACTTGAAGCCTTTGATCCACTGACTTAACCTTCTCATTTACAACTGAAACCCCAACACTAAATTTCTCTGTAAGCCCTACTCTTTTGTCCAATGAATTAACCCTAGCAGATGCATTGGCTCTTAATTGGTGTTTTTCATCAAATGCTTTAGCTTTATTTAAAGCATCTTGCCTGATTGCTGAACCTTTAGCAAGAACACTTGTTACAACATCTTGTGCTTTACTCATGTACACTCTTCCACTCCTAGGAGAACTACCATTCCCCTGTTTTATTTATTTTTTTTAAAAAAAAAATCAAATTTTTAAAGACCGATTGCAACTTTTTCATGTTCAATTTTGTTGTGATTATTATTCTAAATCTACCTCTGCATTTGGTGAAAGGTTTTCTGGAGACATACTCATGGCATTATCTACTTCACAAACTTCCTGCAAGAAGTGACATCATGAAAAAAAAAATTGAATATTGTAAAATGAAAATATATTTATATACCGAGTAATAACCATTACCTGGAACTTGGGTTGTGGCACATAATCTTCTACAGGTGTGATGCTAACAATCTGATCCACTATGGTTGCTCCCTGTAAAGATTTACATCAGAAGATATATATATTTTTCAATTTTGATTAGTTAGATTGTTATATATCTGCTTTGTATCTATAAATAAATAAAATTATAACTACCACTTTACCAAAAAGGGGTCAAACAAACCAAGAGCCAACTAATTAGTGGTAAAAGTGGACCCAAGATGTGGATAAACAATGATATTAATAAATAAACATAATTTGTGGTGTCACAGGGATAAAGACAAACGCAGGCTGATTAATAAAAAAAGTGTGGCAATACAAAACATAAAATATATAATTAATTCTTTTAGTGTGATTGTGGAATTTTTCTCATGTACTCCAAAGTAGGACCCAAGAGTCTCCGCTGGACAAAGTGGAATTAATATGCAGCCACAATTTTGTGGTCGTAGTTTGTTGACTTGATTAGCTGCAAATTTGTCAAACACTGTTGGAAATTTCAAGTTTCCAAGAAATCGCAATTGAATTTTGTATATTTCTAATACATGCAAGCAAAATTGCATACACACACTGTCACACACACATATAGACCAATAAGCAAATTTTGATACATAACTCAGCTGAAATATAAAGATATCGGATATAGAAGGAAATTGCTACCCTTGACTAAATATACATTAAGATGATGAATCTCCAGAAGATCTTTAAAAAAGGGTACTTCAGGAACATCATAAACTTCAGAATGTACAAATCGGAAATCAGATTCTGCTTATTGGCCAATTAAGAAAAACAGACAATGGATTTTTAATGGAATGAGTACTCTGGGCATCCTACATCAGTTATGCTATAGTTTAGCAATCAAACAAACTATTTTCAATTTTGAAATTGGTATTTATATATTTTTTTGATTAAAAATCCTATAACTGCTTCAAAAGTTCCAATAAATATTATATATACAAAAAGAAAACAATGTCAAAACCTTAAAATAATGAATACTAACTAAAATTGAAGTAATTCTAAGTTTGACATTGAAAGTTAAAATGTCACAGTTAACAGAGGAGGAAGTATCGTGTATCAACAGTTTTAGGTCATGAAAATCTTAAACAATCATACAGAATATCTACTTCAATAGAAAAAGGGGAAATAACTAAATTGAAGGATTACCGATAGCAATAATGCAATTTCAAGAGCCTTTGGATCTTTAAACGTGACAAATGCAGTCTTGTTTTGTACTGAATCGCTGCAACCCTCAAAAAGAATCAAAATCAGGACAACATGCATAATAGTAACAAAATTTTAATTCAATTTTAATCTTGACATGGCAGTAACGAACCGGCAGATCTCAACGTGCTCTATGTCGCCAGAAAAGGAGAAAAACTCGTGAATTTCTCTCTCGGTAGCTAGATCTGAAAGATGCCCAACTTGTACTGTTCTTGTCTGAAATATATTCATACGAAAAAGCATATATTTCTTAAAATCTCGACATATTACTTCTAGGAAATCAGATTTTAGACGGACATATGAATCACAAAGAAGTTCAAACTCACCTGCATTTTACTTACAACGCACAACAGGTGATTGAGCTCTGTGTTCAAGAAAGGTTACAAAAGCGTATGAAATTTCAGGTAGAGAGAGAAAGAGAGATAGAAATAGAACAGATGTAATTACGCAATTAACAGATAAGCTGTGAAGATGATGGTGAATGGTATTATATTTCGCCTTTTCCCCAAATTTATATATTATAAATAATAAATAATTTAGGGTTTGAAAAACTTTGAAGGCACAAAGATTCTTGCTGATGTGTTGCTTTCCCTCTTCAAAATATCTTCTTAGCCCTCTAATTTTTCTAAATCTTACAAAATACTCCCTTCATCTTTATATAAAATCACATTCGTTTAATACGTCTAGTTATAAAATTAGTCGTTCGTCATAGAAATGATGTTTCAAAATAGCTATTTTGGATTATATATGAAAACAAGTTAATATTTTGGTTGGATGTAACTTTTCATTTCAGCGTCTTTATATTAACAGCAAATTCCATACTTTGAGTTTTTTTTTCAGTTTACCTGTCAAAAGATTCTTTTTCTTTTCTATTTTTTTCATTGCAAATTTATTTAACTTTTTAGAAAAATCATTACATAAAACTTTAAAGTCTATAAGAAAAACAAATATAATTTATAATTTGTTCAGGTTAACTACTCGGAAAAAAAAATCGATCAAACCATTGAAAGTGCAAATTGAAAATATTAATATTTCATTTGATTTTTGAAGCTCGTTAATTGAAAAAACTTAGAGTGTCTTTTTTATAAATAAATTAAAAAAAAAAAAGAAGTAAACTCTCAAATTAGGGGAAAAAATTTGGATAAACAAAAAATAAATAAAAACAGACATGAACGTAGGTCTGGGAACAGGAAATCGTTGCATATTGAATTCTTTAGCTACGTGGGGGAAAGAGGACGATATTGTCACATTAGTTGAAAATATGTTCGACAATGTAGGTCTTGGCTCATCGGGCCAAAGAGCTGATCACTTTCAGGATGACAGAACTAAGGACAACACCAACGTCAGACAATGTCTCTGTAAGGTTGTTGATGGGCATTTTACGGCAGCAGTGAAAGTGTTGTGTTCCTCGGTTGTTGTTTCACATGACAGTGACATCATCAAAGCTTTAGAGGCTAAGCATCCATACAAGCCACCCCCATCCATGTCGAGCACCATTTATCCTGAGCCTCCCCTTTTAGTAGATATTGGCAATGTCCTTTGTTGTATTAAATCGTATCCTAAAGGAACTTCGTGTGGGAGAGACGGCTTGAGAGCTCAACACATTTTGGATGCTCTATGTGGGGAGGGGTCTGCTATAGCTACAGATCTCTTACATGCCATCACCGCAGTGGTTAATCTGTGGCTAGAGGGAAGATGTACGTCATGTCTGGCAGAATTTGTAACGTTTGCACCTCTTACTCCGCTCCTAAAACCTGACAATGGAATTTGTCATGTTGTTGTAGGCACTATATGGAGGAGTTTGGTCTCAAAGGTTGATATGAAAAGAGTTGGTAAAGAAATGGCATAATACCTTAATGACTTTCAATTTGGAAGAGGTGTGTCGGGTGGCGCTGAAGTTGTACTTCATAGTGTCAATAGGGTGTTGAGTGCACGTCATGATGATGGATCTCTTGCAATTCTTACTGTGGATTTATCAAATGCCTTCAATTTAGTGGATAGATTTGCCTTACTTCACGAGGTCAGGATGAGGTGCCCTTCCATTTCCTTACGGGTTGAATTCTTATATGGACATGCAACAAGGTTGTATTTGGGAGATAAACATATTTGGTCCACTACTGGGGTCCAGTAAAGCGACCCTTTGGGACCACTTCTTTTTGCTCTTGTACTGCACCCACTTATACATCAAATTAGAGACAATTGCAAGCTTCTTCTTCATGCTTGGTACCTCGATGATGGGACCGTCATTGGAGATTCAGAGGAGGTGGCCAGAGTATTGGACATCATTAGGGTGGCAGGCCTAGGATTGGGGCTTGAGCTGAATATCAAGAAAACTGAGCTATTTTGGCCTTCATGTGATGGTAGGAAGCTTCGTACATGTTTATTCCTTGCTGACATTGGCGCGGCCGTCGGTGGGGGTGAAGCTTCTTGGGGGGGGGGGGGGGCTGCTAGTCGATGAAGAGGGTTGCCAAGGCTATTGATTTGATGCGCCTTTTACCACAGTTACATGACCCCAGAGTGAACTCCTTTTGCTCCGATCTTGCATGGGCATCGCCAAACTTTTCTTTGGCCTGAGAACGTGCCAACTCGTTCACATGGAAGAGGTTGCTTTGTGTTTTGATAAAGGGTTACGTGGGTCGATTGAGGACATTGTGGTTTGTGGGGGTCCGTTCTTTGGGGACCTTCAATGGCGACTGGCTTCGTTACCAATTAGGCTCAGTGGTTTGGGGTTGTATTCAGCATTATAGGATTCCTCCTATGCTTTTGTGGCCTCAGGAGCTCAATCGTGGGTGTTACAAGACCACGTCTTATGAAAATAGCGGCATATGTGGTATGGATTTAGATTATGTTTGTGCTTTGGCCTGTCTTCATGATACGATTTTGGGCTTTGATTTCAGCGGTTTCACTAATAAGGACATCGCCCTTCAAAAAGCCCAACATTCATTGGCGAGTGCCCTTTTTAGTAAAATTATCCAAGACATGGAAGTTCACTTCGACATGACGATTAGACAGAAAGCAATTTTTTAGTGTATAAGTGTGACAACCCGAAATTTCAATCTTGTACAAACCATTCAATCCAATCAAAGTTAGACTTGTTCCTGCTAACTTCTAGCACTATTTTGAGTCTATTTGAGCATTCTGAGTCTAGTATATCCAAGGAATAAGTGAATGAGAGTGCCAATTGAAGTTGTAACCCATAAAGCATGCCATAAACCCTCAAAAGAGGAGTTTACGGCCAAGGGGTCATGGGTTTACGGCCATAAACACATGGTGGCCGTAAACTCCATGGTATATATATGGCCCTTAGCCATTTTTCAGCCACTTTTCACTCTTCCAAGCCTAGAACTCGAATTCTCTCCCAAGGATCTTGAAGCTTTTGCTCCAAATCTTCAAAAATGTAAGTGAATCCTTCCATATATGACTTAATACATCTCTTCTTCTTGATTCACTCTTGATTCCATCCACGAAATCTCTTCTTTTGAGTAGATCTTCAAGTGTTCTTCATTTCACCAAGAACACCAAGAACACACACTAGTGTTTTTGGACTTTAATCACCCTTTCAAGCTTCTACTACGTAAGTACACTACCCTTAGCTTGTTATATACTAAAATCACTTGTTAAACATCAAGAAATCATGTCCAGGAGGGTGTTTACGGCCAAGGCAATCTCCCTTGGTCGTAAACCCTAATAGTGGGTGCATATGGACCCTAACTTCTTCCTAAGGCTTGGTCTTTAGTCTAGAACACTTCCTGAAAGCTAGTAGTACCTTAAACACACGAAATGGAACAAGAGGACATGAGTTTACGGCCGTAAACACCATGGGCCGTAAACCCATGGGCCGTAAACTCATGGAGGGTTTACTCTTGGGCCGAAAACTCCAATGTGAGGCCCTATAACCCTTAGATGCAACCCTTTGTACCTCTAGCACTTGAATCAAATTGTTTTCCATGTCCTAGGGTGCCTTTACTTGCTTAATTAGTTGCTTAATCACTAATTAGATACATATATGTGTCATTATATGTTAAATAGGATCCGTGTGTGCTCAAGTCCTCACTTGACACTTAGCATCCTATCCGGCACTTCCATCCAAACCACTCACTGCAGGTGAGTTCATACCCCTTAATCAACCTTTGAAATGATTTTAAATGCTTTTATTGGGGGGGGGGGAATACAAGTTGAAACATTCTAGTTATTGCTTTAATCACATGTGATTAATAACTAGAACAAACAGAAAGATTTTCTATTACTTTCGAATGGTTATCAAACTTATGGATTTCAAACACTTCAAAACTTTTATTAAACTCTTTTAAATGCTAAATCCTTTATCAAACTCTTCTAAAACTTACATTATTGTCAAACTCATATCTATACAGATATATTTATATAAGTAAGGTTTGAAGGACTTAGGACTGATAGTTCACCTTATTTCCTGTTCCTTGTTTGGTTGTGGACTTAGGGTATCTTATTATTTGTCCGAATGTCGTTGAAACCTTAAGTTATATATCGTATATATGTGTTGGGATATGAAAGCTTTCACTTCAGTTCAGTACCTTTGAGTAGCAAAGGCATACCAACAACATTGCTAGTTAACTATAATAGGTATAGTTAAGAGATTACTACTCACTATTACTATTACAACGACACGTACAAGAGTCATTACATTTACGAGTCATTACATATGCACTATAATGAGAAACAATACATACTATACACTAGTACAGAGAAAACATTACTACACTATGACATACTATACAAACATTGAATACGATAACCTACATGTGACATACTACTTCTCGATACGACACTACATCGTTGTATCACTTTGTAACCAGAGTCTCCTGGAGGGAGAGTGAGCATTGTGTGTATAGATCTATACGGGACAGACACTCCCACATCCCGACTGCTAGCTACAGTCCCACCCGATAAGTCCAAGGGGTGACAGAATGTTACCTCGCTACATATGACACCGGAGGGTCATCAGTTATTCAGTCGTCGATCAACATGGTTACATACGAGTTCACATTTAAACCTTTAATTAACCGACTAAGAATTAAAGGCAAACAGACTCCCCGAGGTGTATTGTACATTTAATACTACCTGGAGTCTGCATTTTTATCACCTTATAGCCAGCAATGACACTACTGAGGTAAAACATTATTTTCCCCTAGTACATTTATTTTGTAATCATCTCACATAAACGATGGCTTAAACTATATTTTTATAATGATAGTTTCGCTGGGGAAAACTCTTACATAGTCGGGTCTTGGTAGAAGACTACATTTCAGTAGAAAATATAGGATTTTCTAGGGAGTTCAACCATTTACAAACATTTACAAACAGCTACGAATATTTACACTACATTGTTACAAACATTTTTCATACAAGCAATGACACTAAATACTTATGAACTCACCAGCGTTAATGCTGATAAACTCTTTCAAAATAACTTGTATTCTCAGGTCATCAGTAGGCAGGTACCGATGAAGCTTTTGAGAAGATGGAGCACATTCAA